GGATGCGCAGACTACCCTCCTTCTTCTTTGGCTCCAATGCGTTCCGTAGGATTTTCCCGGGAAAAGGAATTATTGAATGGAGGGGTATTTTTTGCAACACTTTGGTAAACGCAGCCAAGTTTCACCTCAAAACAAAGTTTTGTTTCTTTTTGATACTGATTTTAGCCACAAAAAATAGATGTTTTAACATATGTAAAGCAGAACGGTATCGTAGTTTTCTGGTTCCTGTCCATTGATATAAAATAAAGAAGAGATGTTATGACGATGCTAAAGTGTCCGCACCAATGCATTACACTTTTACGTCATATGTTAAACTCGAGATAGTGATGCTATGCAGTTTTGGTGAAAACTAATTCAATTTTTGTTAAATAGCTTTATTTAAATAATATAATATTTTTATTCCGTCAGTTTTCAACTATAAAATTATTGACTTCAAAGAAATCAAAGTACCACTCAAGTCACCATTTTTATTACACTTTTTCGAAGTGCGTCCATCTGTCATATCAGTCAAAACAGTGTTTATGTCGTCTCTACTTTATTATATCTCCATGTTCCCGCCACATTGCACCTAAAGGTCAATTTAAAAACTTGCAGTTCTGTCGCCGTTACCATTTGTTTGACGTTGCAGTCGCCGTTGAACTTAAAACTTTGTTATGTTTGAATGTACAACAGCGAACGGTGACAGCAACAGAAAATATAAATACGCAGAAGTGAAAGTAGAAGAATCTGAGTATTCTGATTCAGAAAAAGATGAAGATTCGGCATGCACACATTGCCTTGAACCATACACTATAGATTATTTCGTCCGTCCCACTGGTACAGGAATGAACTACACCAACGCACACAATACCTTTCGTTTGGCCCGGTGTACAATCCACTACACCTTCCTGTTGGCGATGTGGTGTGCACTGGTGGATATTTTCTCCACCAGCTGTTTAGCAGGAGTGAATTACACTCCACATGTGTATCAGGAATAAGGAGGAAGTGAACTAGGTAAATAAAGGTGGTGTAACTGATGTAATTTACACTGGTGGACACTGCACCAACAGCGAACGAAAGAACCTTATGTCACTAAGCAGAGAATGATAGCTACGTTGCCAAATGTATCAAAAATGGTGCCATGCAGACTGTATTGATCTACTCAGCAGTACAAAAACTATAATTCGCGATATTTGTAAATAACACACATTAGTTTTAGGTGTATGCTATCTCACCCATAGAGTGCGTGCGAGATGGCTTTTGTAAGAGTCTAGTTTATTTTTTTTACGTATAATATGCATTTTAATCCATTTTGTTGTCAAAAATAAAATATTGTTTCGCACATATTTTTTTCCTTTTAGTAGTTTGTAAAGGTTTAAGTATTTAATGTAGAGTGGTAACGTGCATTATTCATTACAATGACCGAATCTGTAGATATGAATTTAATAATTTGTTCCAAATATTTCTTAAATACGTTTTCATTTATCTATTCGTGATAATCAACGGTCTTTTTAGGTTCAAATAAATGTAAACTATCTTTAAAACAACCGTTCTTGTAAAAGATATTTGAGTCTTTCTAAACTCTTGGTACACTATCTATTAATCTGATGCGATTGGCATTTACTCCCTTTTGAACTTATAATGTGAAGCAAACCAGGAAAGTTTCAGACACTAGAGAAACCACAGCGTCCTTAGAAGGTTTCAACATTTTTGATGCATTTTTGATCTCGAAATAGGGGTCTATTCTGTAAAAATTCCTTTATATTTAACGGCCTTTAAAAATATTGGCGGCCTTTAAAAGTATATTTGTATTCGTTAATTTACTTCTGTCATTATTTAAACAGATTTCTTTAAGATAGTCCTCCAATATATTTTAAAGATCCGTTTAAATAATGACAGAAGTAAAGAAGAAAATATTTTTAAAGGCCGTTAAATATAAAGGAATTTTTACAGAATAGACCCCATAGTCCCTCATCTGCTTGGTATTTGAAGTTGGGTACCAGTAAAATGAACAACACCTACTATATCCTGGTGGAGGAAGTTGTCGTGTGACCTGTAAAATTCAAATACATTTTTTTCGTTTTTTGCTGGCAATGAAATATATATGCTTCTGGACGTCTATAATAATAAACAAATCCCTTTGCAACTATTTTCTGTCGTCCGGTTTTGCTACTTCCGGTATAGTGATTTCGGCCACGTGATCGGATATTTACGTTTTCATCTGCCATATGACCACCTGGGCTCCCGTCCACCAAGGAGGTGAGAGAACTGGTTAGTTACCGTGAAAGAAACAAAGTCCAACTTCTTCTACCATATAGTATGGGGGAGCACTGACATTAAGAAGATCTTCTAGAGTTTATTTGCTTCCAATATACTGGAAGTTGAAAACGTTGGAAATGAACCAACCTTCGTAACATCTGTGTGAAGGGAGGTAATTGATATAACCCTTAGTACACAACGGGCGTGTTCATTGGTGGGGAAGTGGCACGTCTCAAAAGAAGCGTCACTTTCCGACTATAGGCATATCCTGTTTAATCTGGGTAAAAAAACCTCGGGTGAGAAGACATATCGTAATCCTAGGACCTGTAACTGGGGAGGCTTTCAAAGATAAACTCAGACAGAGATTGGAGGACTGTCCTCCGACACCGAAGAATTCAGTGGAAGTTGCGTTTATGTCAGAGTTTCTGATACGAAATCTAACCAACACGTTTGAAAAACTGCCCTATAAGGCGTACCCGAGAGAATATGGCTATGCTATTAGGAAAGCCAAAGAAAATTCCTGGAAGAAATTCTGTGACGGACTCAGGGAAACTCTACAGAGAGATAAGAAAGGATACATGGGATCTCTGAAAAATCAACAAGAACTCACAAAAACAGAGGAGGAGACTTTAGATTTACTAATAAAGTCACACTTTCCTGGATGTGAGATTATTCTTGACCAAAGAGAACAGGAGTATCGAGGCACTATGTTCTAGGGCCTCAAAAACAAACAAATGGAGCTACTGCTAGGTTTTCCTCCACTACACCTTGTGGTGGAGAAGGAGGCTATGGCGGCGGCATACAGGCTGTTTACTAATGGATTTGGATGGGAACTTTCGAGAAAAGGACATCACACAATGATATTAGAGAAATTAAAACAAAATCTGGTACTAAGAATGCCATCGGATAGAATGCCCATTATTCACGACTTCAGGAAACCTTTCGATACTCAAATACCAGAAAGGACCAAAAGCCGGGAAAATAGGGAAAAACAAAACGAATCAATCTGGTATTCAGACGGTTCGAAAATGAAAAACAGCACAGGAACTGGGATCTACCATGTGAACTCAGGGAGGACCATTAGTCTGAACCTGGGGTCACTGACACCAGTCTTCTAAGCTAAAGTAACAGCAATAAATGCCTACGCCAAAGTCATGCTAAATGACTCTTTTAGAGATAAGAGGGTCTTTATCATGACAGACAGTCAGGCAGCCCTTAAAGTACTAAAAAGGGTAGAAGTACAATCTAAATCAATACTTGATTACCAACAGTCCCTCCAGGCCCTGGCAGAACATAACAAAGGTCGCCCTTGAATGGGTACCAGGACATGAGGGAGTGTTTGGAAACGAAAAAGCAGACCTCCTAGCAAGGAAGGGAGCGGACAAAATCTTGTTGGACTAGAACCCACTTGTGGTATCTCATACCAACATGTTAAATGGGTGTTAAAGGAACAAACAAATAGAGAACACCAAAGGCTCTGGTTGGAACTTCCTGGACTTAGAGAGTCCAAAACATTCATAGAGGGGCCATCCACGAGCAGACAAAATCAAATGCTAAACCTCACCAGAAGCGAACTCAAGACCGTAATAGGACTCCTTACGGGACACTGCAGCCTTAGAAGACACCTTAATCTCTTAGGGATATCTGATGACTACCTATGTAGAATATGTGAAGAGGAGGACGAAACTCCTATTCACATACTATGCCACTGTCGGAACCTTAAATGGGAACGGGAATGGTACTTCGGGGTACAATACCCGGAACCTGAAGAAATCGCGAAAGCGCTCATCAGACATATTCTTGAATTCATCAAGAAAATCAATCTGACTGGATAGAAACTGAGAAAGGTACAATAAGCCTAGAGCTATAGTACGAGTGGGCTTTGAACCACACCCTAATTCAGATAGATAGATAGATACGTTTTCAACGAAATTCGGGATACACCTAGCTTAAATGAACTTAAGATGATATTTTTTTGTGTCGGCGAAAGGGTTGATATGCAAAAAAATTGTAACCTTAAAATAGATGTACAATCCAAACCAAAAGTGGTTTAGTTGAACTCAAAATGTTATTATGACTCTCAACTGAGAGTATTGCCCTTGAAAGTATTTTTTTATTCAGCCTTTTTCCCTATTCCCTATTCAACCTTTTTTTCACCCCGGATTTTCTAAAAAAAAATGCCAACTGCAGAATTTAAATTGATTGGAAGGTTAATAGTACGAGATCCAACCGTAATATGGTTCATAAACAAAATACAATTTTTAAAGATAATTAATTATTGATAAAGAAATACGGTTTTGGCAGGTTATCAAAATATGGCCGCAAGTATTTTAAGGTATATTTCTGTTACTTACAATTATACACAAAATTCTTTCAGCAAGAGTTGTTTGTGATGTTATCTCCATAATTTTGGTTATATGCATGATTTCTCTAAAACGGACCGCAATGAAGCAATGTGAGAAAAACTGCAAACATTTTTTGCATAGGGATTTTTTATTGTTATAGACGTCCAGAAGTATATAGTTCATTGCCCAAAAAAACACGACAAAATCCATTGATAAGTAACTTTGCTTTGAATTTGGCAGGTCACACGACAGCCCACCACAGGGACATAGTAGTACATATTTTTCGCCTCCCTCCCTTCCTTATACTCAACTACAAATAGCAGGCAAAAAACACGTCGCGTCACTTTTTGCAATCAAATGAGGGACTAAAAACAAATTGTTTATTTATTTAAAAATGATGTTAACATATTTTTTTAGGAGAACGAATATTAAACGTTGCAAGAGATTTCGCTGCTACATTCAAAGATAAACCAAGTTTCGGCATCTTTTGGATGAACACCTTCAGTCATAATTATATAAATTCACCAACTCGAATGGACTTGAGGTTTAAAGATTTTCTACAGGGCCTTAAATCAGACGGAATTCTAGATGAGAGCATGGTAGTGTTACTAGCTGATCACGGAATAAGGTTTGGGGAAATTCGTCAGACAATTCAAGGATGGTACGAGGAACGTCTTCCAATGAATTTTATTTCCCTTCCTTCTTGGTTCAAGGAAGAAAATCCTACAAAATATGAAAACTTATTGATTAATTCTCACAGACTTACTAGTACTTACGATTTGTATATGACTTTGCAAGATGTACTGTCTTCGTCTGTAAACAATTATAATATTAGTGAAAGCTTAGCCTGTCCTAGTTGCAAATCGCTATTTTCTGTAATTCCAGAAAATCGCAGCTGCTTACATGCTGGTGTACCTGAAGAATGGTGCACCTGTATCGGAAAATTTAATAAAAACCACAACGATTTAACACCAGAACTGAAAAGAGCAGTGTTCAAATTCATAATGCAGCCAAATGTTTTTAGGCCTCCTACTGTCATTGATACAATTTTAAAATCAAGTATTACCTATCATCAAAGAAGAGCTTATTTTTTGGTTTTTGTAAAAGCTACCGATTTCTCCACCTATCAAGTATTGATAAGGGCAACTCGCAGGCCTATACGATTTGTTAAAGTTGTTCAAATTATTAAATTATGGTAAATTATTTAAATAAAAATATTTTTCTAAATAATGTGTTTAATACCCATAATATCAACAATTTAAAATAATAGGTACTATCAATTTCCTTGGATATAACTACACAAACCGCACCGTTCTATGCATTTATCATTCAGGAGTTTTGAGTTGGAGTAGTTTGTGTCGTAACCTAAAGCACTAAATTTTAAATTTAAGCCGTAATCCATCCTCTATTGTGTTGATTAAATTTTGGGAATAGTCGGAGCATCGTTTTTCTACTTTAAGGAATATGTTTATTTTACTCTATGTATCAAATTGCACTTCTATTTTAATATCTAAAGATAAAACTTCACTAAAACTAAAACCATGGATAACTCACGATATTATTAACTCTATCTGCAAAAGGAATAAAATAAAAAAAAAATTTATTAAAACATTATGCTGAAGAACTGAACAGACAATATAAGACTTTCAGAAATAAAACAATCTAATCAAAAAAACAAAAAATGATTATTACAGAAATAAAATAAATGAAGCTGGAAAAAACAGCAAGAAAGTGTGGGAGATTATAAATAATATAACAGGTAAGGAATATAGCAAAACCATTGAATACTGTAATATAACTAATGACGAAGGAAAAATAATTACAAACAATAAAGAAAAAGCAAATGAATTCAATAATTTATTTGCAACATTGGGTAGAAAAATGGCAAATAAAATACAAAAAAAAATCTACCACAGAATTTTTTAAATAATACTAACCTAATACATTCAATATATCTTAAACCCGTAACTAATAGCGAATTAATTACATACATATCAAATCTAAAAAACAATAATTGTTCACCAGGTCCGGATAATCTATCTACAAAAATAATAAAAAATACGTGCCGCGGTAAAGCTATTGCATAGCATTTTTTATCAAATTATGCAATTATAATTATTTATTTATTTTATTTATGCAGTATTTTTTCTTTGATATTAATTCAAGTTACACTTTTTGAGCGTGGTGACCGATAAGAAAACAATTTTTTTTCTTTTATTGAATAAATGAGAAGTTAATATTGTTTAAAATATTTTTATTATCTTACAATACATGTAGCTTATTCAGGAATTTTTATCATTGAAACTATAGGTTTATGGTAACTGAAATAAGAAACATAAGTTTGAGACTTGATATCCTCTAAATATCTGGAAAATACCGCGTCAATGGTGGTCCCATATTTTGTTGTGGATTCTTGTGGATCATTATTCATTTTCAAATTCAATTTTTCCGAAATTGTGTCTAAAAGAGATAGAATCAGTTGTAAGCAGTTAGCAGCTAGTCTACACACATACGTCTAGTCGCACGCACACAAACACCGTGTCGAAGTCTGCCGAACTGAAACGACGTTAGACGATGCACGGCTTTCAACACCGCACCGCTGTGCCGGTCGGAGTGGGGGGGTGTTAGGTTTATTTTCGTTACGGAATTTCTTTTTCGAATTTTCGATGGATTAGGATAATTTTCGTAAGGAATTTCTTGATTCGGCCGCCGCGCTCAAAGCCCTCGATAAAATCTGTGTAATAGCTTAATAATGAAATAGTTAACACTAATAAAATAAAAATTAATATTTTTTCTACACCCGTATTATAATTATGCACTTATATGCCCATAATCCGTTTCATAATGATACCCATTGGGGTCTATTCTGTAACAATTCCTTTATATTTAACGGCCTTTAAAAATATTGGCGGCCTATAAAAATTTGTTCGTATTCGTTAATTTACTTCTGTCATTATTTAAACAGATTTCTTTTATTCGCTCCGTGCGAAGTCATGGAAAGGGAAGCAAAAGCGATACTAGCGCTAGCTGCGGATAATTCGTGCATTTTAGGGGGATATTTTGTAATTTTGGCATATCAAATACACGTATACATTTTACTTTTTTTCAAAAAAGTAGGTAAAAACAACACAATAAGCAACCGGAGTTGCTGTGTTGAAAATTGTACAAATACTAGCAAAAAAAACAGTGAAACTTATATAACAAATTTCACTAACAAAGTGGAAATTAAATCAAAGAAATAAATGGATAGGTGTACAATAAGAAGAAAAATTACCTTTATTTTTGTGATAATAACAGTAATGCTGGAAGTAGTAGACATCAGAAACTAGAAAGTTTTTAAATAAACAATAAATTATCATTTTACGATGTTCTTTAATATCCCTTTATTCTTAAATGTTCATTCAGCAAGGACTAGATTTCAAGATTTCTGCCGTTGATTATAATATTTGGCTGGTATGCAATTTTGTGACTTACTGATCGGAAACCAGTTTTAATTATTCATTCTATGTTTTCTTTAGAACAAAAATGAAAATATAAGTAGCGATCCTTTTTATACATTTTAACTTCACGCTATTATAAATGGTTTCTTCAATGACAACTTATTAGACTTAGGCAACTTCTCATACATTTTCCAGTAAATACTGTTGCCTGCCTATATTTTATTATTGATTTTTAATGATTATACATAATTTTCTTCAATTTAAGCGTGAAAAATATATAATAATAATAAATTAATGTTTTAATTGTTTTATAAATCCATATACTTTTATTAAAACTAACATATATACTTTTTATTTACGAATTCTATTAAAAATTGTATTTGTCAGTATAGGCAGAAATACTCCTTTAATACCAAAACAAATTGGCGCTGCTGTCGCGCACGGAGCGAATAGGGAAAAATTTGATATTCGTTCATTATTTTTTGAGTTTTAAGAAATGAATCATGAATAAAATGCGAGTGATACCGGTGATAATCCCTATAAAAGAAAATAAAAACTTGCGTGAAATGACATTCCGGTGACAATCTCCGGCGAGTCGCCAGCTTTTTGGGCTTTCGCCGGCGGATCGCCAGCGAATCGCTGGCGATACGCCGAGATGGATCTCTGGCGAGTCGCTGGCGATCGACTGTGCGTATGGCTGTAAGTGTGCTCTGTGAAAATTTAAAAAATTTCTTTACTATCGAATCAAATCCAGGTTTCCAAAGTGATGTGTTTTTACATCCACGAATGCAACAAGTTTTTTCGATAATGATCCCAGCAAACACAAACATGTAACATATATGTATCATTTACATGTACTAGTTCCGTGTTACATAACAAAGTAACTTACATGTTACATAATAACTCATGTGATTACTGTGAAAAATGACCTAATTTTGTTATATAGCAGGTTCCTTATATGTGATGTAATGGGTTAAGTACATGTAAGGAACAGTGTTATATATATCGGAAGACATGTAACATTTATATTACCATTGTAACATCTAATATGCTTCATTATTACAGCACTTTTTTCATATAACATTAGTATTATAAATGTTATATAAATGAAGGTATGTAAATGTAGGTATTAGTTATACAGTGTGTCTACTTAAGTTGGAATAATATGGAAAACTCTTGTATTATTGACTTTGTAAAAAAAAGTATTCTTGATAAAAAGTTCTGCATGATCTAAAACTTAAAATGCAACCATCAGATATAATCCGTATACGAGGTTTTTCTAAAAATATGAATTTTACTCAAGAGTAAAATACCTTTATTTTTTACAATACAGAAGAATATTATAAAGTAAAGTTACTTTGAATTAAAAGTTATATTAAAATATGCAATTACAGTCATTTAGGATGAAAATTCAGGTTAGGTGATTATTTACGTTTTACATTATAAATTATTTATTTGTAGTTATAAATTAATTAATCACCAAACCTGAATTTTAATGCTAAATGGCTGTAATTTTAAATATATCTTTTAATTTAAAATAATTTTACTTTATAACATTCTTCTGTATTGTAAAACATAAAGGTACTTTATTCTTGAGTAAAATTCATATTTTTTGGCACACAGTTTAAAAAATTGATATCTGATGGTTGCATTTTAAGTTTTGGACCATGCATGGCTTTTTATCTAGAATAAATTTTTTCACATAACCAATAATAAAGTTTTTCTATATGGTTCTTAAGTAGCATTTATTTATATATACGCTATGTAACATTTTGAACGAAATAATTTAGTACAAATTGTTACTTTAAGGTAGATTACATATAGATATATAAATTGATATAATCTTTACGTGAAGAAATTTATATAATGGATATGTAATTTTGTAACATATATTTTAATTATATACATGGTATATAACTATGGTGCTAAGTTTGAACTTAGGTTCGGTTCCATAAATAACACATAAAAGTGCATACAAGACAGTAAGTATATTTTACCCTTCTTAGTTATGTAACAGGAGGAAACATGTAACAGAATGGTTTACTGGGATATTACGAAAATAATTCGACTTTATTTAATTAATAATTACCAAACAATTAATGCCGTATAAAACATTAATAAATCCCCCCCCCCATAAAGTTCACAATTTTGTCACCAGTTGGCATTAAAGTCATGATACACGGTTCCTTTGTTCTATAGGTATTATTATTAGAGTATTATTATTATTATTATTATTATTGTAGCCGTGATCGTGTAACCCGAGAATAACGATCAAGGAGAAGCGACAGTAGCTGTCGGTGCCTTTGATATCGGATGTACCTTTTTCACAGCATGACTTTGATTGATACACAACTTAGCACGCTGAGAAAACATGCATATTTTCTACACTGAGCGAAATAGTTTGGCAAATTATCTGAAATCATTGTTATAGTCCATGCGCAAATGTTGTAATGTGATTTAATTACATTGAAGTAGTTAGGGTTAATAGCAATGGTGAAATTTTGGCACCAAAATATAATTCATTATGTAATAATTAATTATTTGTTATAAAAGTAAAAGACGTATATTATTTTATAATTTATCTACAAAATTTGTTCAATATTTGGTTTATTCATTGTTAAAAATGTAATAAAAGCCCCATTTTAAAATTAAATTACCTTTTCCTTAAGTAAAAATAAGGTAAATAAAATTAATGGTGCCAAAAAAAATTTAGGTAGCAATTAAAAAGACATTAAGTTTGAGAGATTTAACTAAATATTTGCAATGTACTTATATTTTCAAAACTTTTAGGTTTAAAAAGTACTTACATATTTTTAGAATTTCTGGATTTATATTATATTAAAAGGACTTTCAAGTTTATCACTCATTTCTGTATAAACAAGTGTTTTCTCGCCAAGTTAAGCCAGATGTCATTTAAGGTTTATGTATTTAGAGTTAAATACCTGGCCTGGATATCACCCATACAATACAAATATGTCCATTGGACGTCCATTCGATATACAATTTTCTGGACTTCCGACATCCAATGGACGTCCGGTGAAGCATACAAATGGCACACTTTTGACCATTCAGAGGACGTTCAATTCTGGAATATATTTGGACTTCGAATACTGGACATTCAAAAAACGTCCAGGATTATATTTCCATTGAGACCACATTCCCACTTCTTTTACAGAACCGCAACTTACCACACACTATTTTATATTTTTAATAATTTGTTTATTATTTTTGCAAACCGCCATACACCATTTATTTTTTTTTTTTTTTATTAAAAATTGCTTGACCTGAGCACGAATTGAACTCACGACACATCCACTATCGTTTTACGCTTTCAATTGCTAGACGAGTTCGACCAAGGAACCACTTGAAAACTTTTTACTAGATACAGTTATAATTGAATAAGATTTCAAACTTCCGCTGATAGAATGAAATGCAATAGCTTCAATTTGTCAATTTTTAATGACCAGTTATATTAAAAAAAGAAATATATATTATAGATGAGTATTATCTGGTAGGCTTAATAAATAATGACCTAAGATGGACGTCCACTCGACGTCAAAATAATACTAAACTTAAAATTAAGTCCAAAAACAGACGTACTCTGGGTATCGATATTCAGCTGTCAATTTAATTAGCATAAACGGACGTACACTGGATGCCCGGATATGGACGTCCTGACCCTCAAATAGATCTAAAGTGGACGTACATTGGACTATGTGTGCTGTCTGGGCATAGACGAATTTTTTGAAATAGTACCTATTTAAGTATTCACCAATATTTCCAAAATCAATTCCAGTATGATTCATTCAATAAATGTAAATATGAATGGGCAAAACATCTTACAATTTAGCCATAATAAAGGGATTTCGCCTATTTTGACCAATCCTAATTGAAACACGCGGATTTACTATATTTTTTTAAATATAATTTTCAAATAAAATAAACAAAATCTCCAGTTCATTGTTTATTAAATTTATTTAAAAGAAGAAAACATATATTTCACAAAATACAATACCTACATATGAAAAATAAAATTTCAAAAATGATTAAATCATTATACTTTATATTTATGCATGCGATAACATTCTTAGTTTCCTAATAACTTTTTTGGTACATTTTATATCTGCATTAGAATACCTAAGTGTGTAAAAATCTTCATCTTATTACTACACAAAACAAACACCAAAAAATATCACTTTACATTGCTCACGTACTAAACACAACTTGGACTGACTTTGACAGATAACATCATTTTGAGTGATACACAACTTATTTTCGCACATGCGCGTTACAAAACGGTACGCTAAAAACACTAAGCTGTCGCTTCTCCTTGATCGTTATTCTCGGGTGTAACTTTGTTTGCAGCATTTATTTACGTTTGTGTTCATAATTTGTAATGACATTTTTAATAAAATACATTTTTTTATTAATTTATTTATTAAATGATTGAAAATAATATAAAATATGCAATTGATGTTTTTAAAACAAATATAATATTTGTTTGTCATGATCATAAAACGCTGTAGTAAAATGACAGATGAGTGCAATAAAATTTTTATTAATAAAGATTTATTAATAAAATTATATATTATTATAATATAAGGACGTAGGGAGCCAGATGATATATCGGGCGTCGGATGGAGGACGCCTGATAAGAGATGACGTCGAGAGTGGAGACGTGGGAACGTTCGGGAGGTAGGTCGTCGGGCTGAAGAGCGTCGGATAAAGGTAAAGTATGAACTGCGTGGGTTTAGGAAAGGTACTGAACTTGAATTATACTAGATTTGAAGAATAATACGATTGGAGCTCGAAATCAACTGAGTTTGATTTCTTAATGCCTTTCGAGTCCCCTTAAATTGGATCTTTATACTCGATTTAATTACTTTTTGTGGCGTTAGTTTCTCGTGTGAACGAATTTGGGCGGATAGGGGGTAGCTGATTTATTACTTGCCTTGAAAACTTTGTGTATCGAAAACAACGTTCCTATTCGAACTGACTTAAGATAAGTGCGTTAAGAGTTGCAATGATTATTCGGGACAACTTATGTTGCATGGTGGTTTTAGATAGAGTTCCCAGACACTTATAAGAAATTGAAACTCTTACGGGAAGTGTTATAGATATTATTTATTAGGTGTCGTAAATAAGATTTAATTATCTGGGAGATTTTTCGTTAAATGAAGGATTTTGAATTTAATAATAATGTAGCTTTTCTTTAATAAAATGGAATTAATAAATTATTAAGGTACCTGGGTGCGGTAAGTTACAGGGTAAAGGTACAACCTATACAGCACACATTATTTCAGAAGTGTTTCAGAAATATTTCAAACGATTCAAACATATAACATTTCAAGTACAAGTTTCTGAAATATTTGAGTTAAATATTTCACTGAAAATATTTCTGAAACATGGTATACATGTTATACAAAAGGTTACTAAACGGGTTATATTGAAGCCAATACTTAATAAAAAATGTCTGATTGGTTAAAAGAAGATGGGATATGTAGTTATTTTATTTCATCCTATATCCAGTCAGAGACAACCCTATATTCTAAATAATTATAGATTTGAGTTGTCTAAAAATTCGAAATACAATGTGATTCCTATAAAAATTCGTGTGGCATAATTAAAACCAGTATTAAAAAAAATATTTATTCAATATTGTAATATATAATAATAGAGAAATATAAAAAATGTAATATCTTTACGTATAAAATTATAATAAAATGTGTCTGTTTAATGTTAATAACAGTATATAATCCAAAATTTTGTTTATATTATACAGATTTCGGAAAAACAATATTCAACTTTATGGAAGCTAAATGTTAACAAACTTTGTATAACTATTAATAAAATTGAACAATTAACTATTCATAAAATTCAAAAGCCGAAAAAATAATGGCACATTAATTTATACCTAATAAAAATTTGATTAATTTACTTTAATAATTTGTAGAAAACGAAAGAGCTCTTAAAACCAACTATAATATCATATACATACATATATTGCAACCGCGTAAATTTAAATATGTGTCTTAAGTTTTAATAACATTTAATACTAATTACTTTTTGTGTTAGTGTATTATGCGATGTTTATACATATGGAGCCACTGCTTTAGCGATCATAGGCACATTTCTCTGTATCTCTCTCGCTTTATAATAACGTAACCCATCCACCTCTAGTTGTTTACAACAGATGTAGAGGTGGAAAGGTGCTATTGTTGCCCATGATCAGTAAAACTGTGGCCCATATTTGTTTAATAAAATATAATTCAATTAAATATATTGTAAAAAGTAATCAAAAAATAATGTCTGAACATCTTAACATATTAGCAAAGTTTCAAAAAGTAATTGATTAATAAAAACATATTTACAGCCATCTATTATACTTTTATATTATAAAATTCAGTTTCACTGTATTGTATTCAACGATTAATATTAAATAAACTTCTTATCTATCAAACTTTTGGTAACCGAAAATAAAACCTGTAAAGAGAAAATGCAAAACATTTTATGTTAGCAGTTTTCTAAACAATTTGCTATCGAGATCTTACAAAAGCAGCACCTCAAAAATAATTTCTTAGTAACTATTATTTTCACATTTAATAAAAACTGAAAAATAAAATCAATTCAAAACAATAATAGCTGCATTAATTTTATAACCATTTTATTCAAATACTAATAAAGTAATCTAAACAAAGAATATACAGGTTCGGTAAAGAACCTTCCAAACATCCACGATACAAGGAAAGCGATAAAGAACGCAATATGACACTAGACATGGATAAAAACTATACTTCGGACTTTTTAAATGCCTACATAACGAAAGAAGAGCAGAAGATTTGGATGTGCATTGATAATGAAAGAAGTGTGAGAAAAGCTCGAGAGCCATAATAATAATTATTGTATGTTCGTTGGTGCAGTGCTGTTACCCCTTAGCTATGCCTTTCATAAAAAAAATATTTCATAATAATTAGATATAACTAGAGGTGGTCGATATATCAATAACGGTTACTTTTGATTTGAAAATCACCGGTGCTACCGGTGATTGAGTTTTATTCTTAACAGGTCCAGTGATTTTAACTCGATTGGTGAAACGCGCTTCTTCTGTGAACCCGTTAACCGATAATTTTTATCCGTTGAAAGTTTGATTCTATGTGGGCGCTATTCACCTATGTACATAGCCAGTTAAATAATTCGCCTGGGTCTATCTAAATACAATGATCATATTTATATAGCGACCGACAGCGACGAAGCGCAAAATATTTATCTATTTTGGGTTTCAGTTTTCTGTTGTCGGCTAGGGTTTAAATTTCGCAGGAAACTGTACTACTGTAACTTGAGTAGGTAAGCATCGCAAAGATGGCGTAAAATATCATGAAATTACCTACTATAGGATGGTTTTTACTTTACTGTTTTTATTTTAAGAGAATTCTCGGTCTTTGGCAGTTAGTCTAGTATTTTTCACTACGTCAGCTTGAGTGTATTCATTATTCACTTACCTGGATATTAATAATATAGTTTTGCGAATGTTAAAATCAAAGAGAACAAAGGTTAATGGCATTTGGAACTCTTTTACCCCTATTGACGATACTGATTATGCAAAATGTAACATTTGCCAAAAAAAATTGTCATTTAAAACTACTAATTCACATTAAAAAAAAAACATATAAAATCAAATCATCCAACTGTGTCCTTGGAAGGAACATAAATAAGCCATCAAAAATTTGAGGCAACTAAACCTCATACTTCCGGATCAAATGATTCCAATCAAATCGCAACTAGCTCAAAAATAGTTACTAAGGTTAGTCAGCCAGCATAGCTTCTTATATGCCTAAAAAGATTAGTGCGTTTACAACAAAAACAACTAATGATAATCTTTTAAAATTATTTACACTTGACTATCAACTATTCCGTATTATGGAGGATAAGGGTTTCAGAGATTTCGTGCAGGCCCCGAATCCGAATTATAAACTGCCTGAAAGACATACAATTTCTAAAACATTAATTTCAAGTTTATTTGAGGAGTGCAGTTTACGTTGTCGAGAATCAATTAAAAGCTGTAAAAGAATTGCCTTACCACAGACTGTTGGACGTCTATGAATACTGAGAGTTATATTGGTCTAACAGCACACTTCGTAAATGAAGATTTTGATTTAAAAACAATTTTATTGGAATGTAAACTGATGGCAGGTCACCATACAAGCAAAAACTTGGCTAATGAAATTTCCAAAAATGCTAAAATTTTATTGATAGTTTCTGACAATGCTTCTAATGTAAAATTAAATTTAAAAAATTTTGGTTGTTTTGCTCACACGTTGAATTTAATAGTTAAAATATACCAGAGATTTTATCACTACTAGCTCAAGTTAGAATAGTAGTCGCTCATTTTAAGAGAAGTGCTTTGGCCAACGAACAGTTAATGAAATACCAAGAAAATTTGGGTAATGCATCTTTAAAAGTTCTGCAAGATGTTGCCACTAGGTGGAACTCCACGTTCTATATGTTAGAACGTTTTTTGCTGTTAGAAAATTCACTGAAGAGTACCATAGCAATTTTAAATAAGGATATTCCTATTTTGTTTGAAAAATAATGTGAAATATGTCAGCACCTAGTACAAATTCTTAAGCCGTTAGAAAAAAATCACGAAAAGTGGTGAAAATTATGAAATTTGGAAAGACAGTGACATATTAGGTTTGACAATTTAGAAATGAATAACACATTAACCGTTCAACTTTTCTCGATCCACGGTTTAAAATGGCTGGATTTAAAAACGATAATGCAAAAAAGATTGTTATAGCAGCCGTAACTTTCAAAATAGAGAAATGTTGTGTTCAAGCTATGTCTGTTCCGTGTGAAAGGCTTTTTTCAAAGACCGGGTTGACAATTACGGAATGACGTAGTCGTCTTAATCCAAATAAACTCAGACAACTTCTATTTTTGAACATTAATTTTTCACTTAAAGGAGTAGTTTTTTGCTAAAATATGTTCAATAGTTTTTTTGCTGAATCATTTTTTAATTTTAGTTTTATAATTCAATGTTCATTTTCTTGGAAAATATATTACATTTTTGTTTAATCAGTTAATATTTTGTTTGGTTTTACTTTTAGAAAATGAATATACATAGGTATAATTAAACGTGTTTTCAAATTACAACGTACTTAATTAAACCTGCCACATTTTTTAAATATTTTGGAATGTTACTAGGAAAAACATGAAAACAAACATTTACAATACTAAAAAATATATGCTCTTATTATATTTCTCTTTTATAAAAAGAAAAGCTAACTTAAAAATCAATATTTTATATTGTATCAGAAATATTTTTCATCGACTTGCACGCTTTCGATTTTTAAATCGCCGTTTTCTAATATTCACAGTCGATCGGAATTTATCAGTATCAAAGTTTATTGAAATATCGTAAAATCACCGATCACTTCTAAGAATCACCGTGATTTTCAAATCACCGGCACCGGTATCCCGGTGATTCTAAAAATAAGGTATCGACCAACTCTAGATATAACATGGGACAGTGGCGTATCAACCAATGTGGTAATGTGTGCCAAGAACAAGGGCCCGCAGGCGTACAACAAAAACAATTATTTAAATACGTACATATCTCCAAATTTAAACACTAACGAAATATAAAACAAAAGCCGACCCTGTCGCATACCAAGAATTTAAACTTTGTCACCTCATAAAATGCAACGAAAGTTTGTAACAACAGCAAGGTCAACGTACAACACGAATTAAAAACATCTAACTACACAGTCTAATGCGGCATGAATCAGACAAGACGTAAAAAAGAGCATTGGAGATGTTGCAATGTCAAATTTGAACACAGACCCAAAATAAACAAAAAATACTAGAAAACTAATATTCTTTTGCCTTTTTATTGAAGCAATGCATCTCACACAGGGGTTGCAAGGCCAAATTTTCGCGAACATAGGCACGAGGTTGCGTTGATACATCACTAAGTCGAAAAAAAAAACGTGGTAAAGGTAGAATTCGTCGGTAACGAGAAGACGCCAAAGAACTAGATTGCGATGGAGGAATGGAGTGACAAAGGATGTCAGAAAAATCGATACACCAAGTTGGATGACAAAGGAATAGGAATAACCTAGAGATAATCTATTATGTCTTCAATATTCCTAAGATTACATAAACTATGTTTGGGTTCTCTGTCGCACCAGCAAGATTCTTTTTCTAATACAAATATTTATAAAGAAGCTATTGCTTGGATTACGAAATCTCTTATAGTATGTGTTTGTTATAATAGAATTAATAGCTAAAAATATTATGAAATTGTTCCATTCAGTCAGCCAACTTGTTAATAAGGATAAAATTGTTTTCCATATTTGAACAAATAAACGAAAGCAACGCCGCAAAAGAACGTTAACAAGTGCGACATGAACCTTCCTCTTATATCCATACCGGGAGTCACCAACAATTGCAAATATCTCATTTTTCCTTTAGTGTAAGGAGGATACTTAGCACAAGAAAGAAGTTCGCCTATGTATCCCAAATTCTTGTATAATACGCCCTTATTGTGAACGAAAGTGTCGAAACTGAATTTGCCGTGGTACGAACCCATGCCGCTGTTGCCGACTCCTCCGAAAGGCAACGACATAACGATGAGGTGCATAATCGTATCGTTTACGCAAACTCCGCCTGAGGAGGTGTTGGCTAATATTTGGTCGACGTCTTTTTTCTTATTAGAAAAGATGTATAAAGCTAATGGCTTTTCTTTGGAATTTATGAATTCTATCGCTTCGTATACGCTTTCTACATTTACGATTGGTAATAGAGGGCCAAAAATCTCTTCTTGCATTACCGGATCTGTTGCCTTTACATCCACTAATACTGTAGGCGAGATATATTTCTCTGATGCATCACTATCGCCTCCTATGGCAACTTTTGAACCTATAATGAAACGAGTAATTAGCTATAGGTGTACTGAATATGGCATATTAAAAATACTGTTTTGCTTCAAACGTCAAAAAAAGCTCTCTGGGGTACATTTTATAAATTAATGTTTAAATAGGCATCAGTGTTGCTGTTGTTATTGCAATTGTAAAATCTTTTTTTTATTATCTATTACTATTTTATTAAAGTCGAATTCAAAGGTATAATTAAGAATGTCACAATTTTAAAGACAAATGTAACCGTTGAAACTATAGTCTAGAGGAGAAAGGGGTACAGTAATTTAATTTGCAGAACGTAGTACAGGTTCAAGAGGTAGAAATTTTATTTATATCTCATCCTTCAATGCTTATTTGTAGTTAAAATGAAAATTTTAATACATCTGATCAGCCTAATAAAATTTTTCGTTTAGATTTAATCATGTTTCCATAGTTTTTACTGTAATAAACTTTTCTTTTGACAGATAAGTCAGACTTTATTTATTCATAGCCGTATCGTGTATGTATTTTAATTGATTCGGAATTTTGTATTAGTATATATTATAATTTTAGCATTATAAAAGAATAGCGAGTACATTAGAAAATATTGCAAGCACAAGTACGCATAAACGACCTAGTAGACATAAAGCATTATCTTTAGAAGAAGAAAATATTCTACTTAATGTATATCTTTGAATAGACTTTGTTTCACTTTCTATGGATGAAATAGCCACTAAATGTGAGACCTATAATACTAGAGTATTTAAGCGGAAAGTGTATAACATTAAAGAAGATACACCCAATGAGCACACACTCGTTTTTTTTTTAATTTAACATTGTTTGGTATATAAAAAAAAACGTTATTGGTTGAAAATTCAACGTTGAGATAGTAATTTTCAACAGAATGATTAAAGGAGTCACTACCCATGCAACACACGTTATTTCAGAAGTGTTTCAGAAATATTTCAAACATATAACATGTTTGAAAACGAACTATTTGTAATGGCCTCGTATAATGTTTTATTGTACGTTATTTAAGTTATTTGACTGCTAGACAACCAATTATGTCGAACAGCGTATTGTATGTTGCATAACTACCTTTTTTAAACAATTATTTATATTCACATAAAAAATGCATTAATTTAACATTTAACTTCTATCTCCATTAATGTAATCTAATTTAACAATGTTTTCCTACGACCACTTAGGAAAGTGACACATATCACACTATATAGTCCTATGGAAAGTGCCCTATATCACACGCGCATGTAATGTCCATATTAATACTAAAATCGATGAATGTTAAATTATTGAAATTGTTGTAAATTAGATCCTAGATATTTATCTTTAACAATGATTATTAAAATAATTTTAAAATAACTAAGATATGTTTGCTCTTTATTCTGGTTAAACACATAACCGATTAGATCATTTAATTTACGCAAGGCCTATTAACTCAACTTTGCCATTTGAGAACTGGCGAGCGACCGCGTTCAAATCCTGGCGGGGCCAGAATTTTTTTTTTATTTTTTTTTTTTTTTTTAATTTTTTTTTGTTTAGAAAATATGAAAATTGAATAAATACGATTATTGTTGATTATTTTTTTAAATACATTTTAATTATTATAATAATCTGGTTTTACATTTTTTGATGAAATTATTTTGAGGTCGTAGGAAAAATATTGTACATCACTTGTGTGAAAAGTGATTTTTCACACTCGTAATGCAATATACTATTTCTGTTTATTAATATCAATGTCTTCTGTAAATAAATAATACAGAGTGCTTTTTTGAAACAAAATCAGTAGAGCGACTCATTTCTTTTTTTTCTGGAAACAACTATTTACGCCACATGTTTAAGCTATTTTTACGCCCTTAAAATATTATAAAACTTTTCGAAAAAAATTAGTATTTTTTAAAAAATTTAACAGGGTGCTTTGCTAGCTTCGAAAGAATCCACAAGAACACCTCGGTTTTTTAAAGCCAACCAACTTTTTGGCTATTTTTAAGCTCTCCAAATATTATAAAACTTTCTTAAAAAAATGGTACTTTTATTATTACAGGGTGCTTTGTTCAAACGAAGCCAGCAGAGCACAACCGTTTTTTTAAGGGTTTTCCTAAAAAAAATATGCCTCATTTATTTTTAAGCTGTTAAAAATTATAAAACATTTCAAAAATTTGCCTTTTGTAAAAAATACGGCGCGTGCTTTGCTAACTTTAGAACGAAGCCAACAGAGCATCTCGATTTTTTTTACATCCACATGGATATTAGCTTACAAAACGAAAAAGAATACTATTGCCATTAACTGAACGAATATATTTTATATCCATTCTATGTAGTGAGATCACTGCAAAAAAATGAAATCCATCAATCACACTTCATATTTTGGTCACCCGACGACTATGATTTTTAAAATTTTAAGTGACAATTCTGTCAAACTAATTGTCAGTATATTTTTTAGTTATTGAGCTTAAATATACATTAAAATGACTTATTTTTCGATGAATAATAGCATTTCTATTTTTATTTATACTATAATTATAAATAATTTAATTTTAATGAAGTCAATTCAATTACGAGTATTATGTGTGTGCGTGTTTTGTATGATGGCCTTGATCTCAGATCAATTGGCCAGAGCTAATGTTGTTAAAACGAATCTAAACCTACTTACAATTTTCACAAATTACAACAATACAATAATGAATAATGAAGGAACTTAAAGTCTAATAAAAGTACAAAATTTACAGCATATTAACAATTAAACAAGAGTTAAAACAGTTGTGTTACAATAAATTATACATAATTATATTTTAGGCGACGAATTCCATTTTTTTTTAAATATATATTTCTTTTTTTTTTTGTTTTTTGTTTTGTTTTTCTTTGTTTTTTTTTTGGTTTTGTTTATTTTTTTTTTTTAGTTTTTTTTTATTTATTAGTTATAATACCTGTATTTTGTGTTTTTTTTTAACCGACTTAAAAAAGAAGGAGGTTCTCAATTCGCGCCAATATTTTTTTTATGTGTGTTCAGCGATAATTCTTTAAGACGGTGTCCGATTTCAATGATTCTTTTTTGTTAGGAGGTACCTCAGGGGTGGTCCCATATAAATTTGGTTAAGATGTGGTGATGGCATCTGCACGTTTTTTAAATTTTTAATTTCTAATACTTGTTAATATCTTGATTAATTTTTTTCAAATGTTTATACATAACATAGTACTGTTTTATAATTTTTTATTTTTTTAACATAAAAGCGCATCTAAGATGGTGAGGAGTGTTGCTCCTATTAATTGCAGGGTCTTGTAAAATTCTTTGTTTAGATTTTGAAAATTAGGGCAGCTAAAGATTAAATGTTGTAAATTACCCAATTGCCTACAACTACAGAATGGGAAAAAAAAATTCCCAAATCTGCCGGTAGACGGTGAGAGGATCTGTCTTACAAGCGAGAAATCCAAGTTCGAGCCTCGGCTGTACAACTCAAGTGGATTGTCCACATCGTACGCAAACGATTGAGCACTCCATCTATGGCGTCTTGCTCTAATTTCGTCTTCGTGCGATATGGCCATCATATCCACTCTTATTGCACAAACTACTATACTCTATTGTTAGACTCCTGAAATATAAAATTTTTCACTCAGCAGAAAACATCAGCATTTTAAAGTTTTTTTTTATTTCTACTAATAACTACATCTCGTTTTTAAACTATTTTTATGCTTTCGAAATATATAATTTTCAGAAAAATAAATATTTAAACCTAGGTGCTTTGCTGACTTTATTCCAACAAAAACCTGTATTATTTAAAAATAGCCTAAAAGTGTGGTTGTTTTTGAAAAGATTTAAAAACTGAGGTGATCTGCTGGATTCGTTCGAAGCTAGCAAAGCCCACTGTATTTTTTAAAAATAAAATAACTATTTCGAAAAGTTTTTATAGTATTACAAGAGCTTAAAAATAGCATAAAAATGAGGCAAAAATAGATGTTTTCAGAAAGAAAAAAATAATAAACCGATTTGCTCTGCTGACTTTGTTTCAACAAAGCACACTGTATTATTTAAAAATAGCAATTTTCTTAGAAGTTTTATAATATTTCAAGGCCTAAAAATAGCCTAAAAATGTGGTGTAGTTGTTTCTAGAAAAGCTTCAAAAAACTGAGATGCTCTGTTGGATTTGTTCGAAGCTAGTATTTTTTGAAAAAATTTTAAAAAAGTTTATATTATTTTAAGAGCCTAAAAGTAGCCTAAAAAATGGCATGGTCCTTTTTATATAAAAAAAAATTCATAAACCGATGTGCTCTGCTGACTTTGTTCCAACAAAGCACCATGTATTATTCAAAAATAACAATTTTTTAGAAAAGTTATATATTTCAAGAGCCTAAAAATTTGGTGTGGTTGTTTTTAGAAAAAAAGCTTTAAAAAACCGAGGTGTTCTACTGTAATCGTTCGAAAATGCACCCAGAACTTTTTAAAAATTAGTAGTTGTTTCAGAAAAAAAATTAATAAACCGAGGTGCTGTGCTGACTTTGTTCCAACAAAGCACCCTGTGATAATAAACAATATAATTTTTTTTTTGAAAAGTTTTATAATATTTGAAGAGCCTAAAAATAGCATAAAAATGTGGTGTGGCTGTTTTTAGAAAAAAATCTTTAAAAAGCCGATGTGTTCTGCTGACTTGTGGTTGTTTTTAGAAAAAAAAATCTTTAAAAAAACCGAGGTTCTCAGCAAAACACCCTATATTTTTTAAAATAACAATTTTTTTCGAAAAGTTTAATATTTTATGAGCCTAAAAGTAGCTTAAAAATATGGTCTTGAGGTGCTCTGCTGAATTCGTACGAAGCTAGCGGAGCACCTTGATTTTGGAAAAAACCAGGAGAATAAAATTTTTGAATAGGGTATAAAAATAGCCTTAAAATATGGCATAGGTTTCAACTCAAAATTGCCTAGGTGATCTGCTGCCTTCTCTGACATACATTTTTATACCGAGTAGTGGGCGAGATTTGGCAAAATAAAAATTTAAGCGAAATCTATAAAAC